CATGCATTTCAGTTCATGCATTGTCATGCATTCTCGTTCATGCATTGTCATGCGTGTCTCATTTTGCATTGTCATGCATTTCAATAAGTCATGCATTGACATACACTTCAATTACACGCATTGTCATGCATCTTTGTCGTACATTTCAATTACATGCATTGTCATGCAATTCATGCATTGTCATGCGTGTCTCATTTCGAGGCCGGTCTATGACCGGGCGAGCGGGGGTGCTCACGAAGTGACCTTCCCCAATTGTACCCAAGTTTCCGAGCCGAGGCAACTTTGGTGATGACGGACACATGGCCTTAGGCAACTAGTCAGGGTTTCCTAAATTTCCCAAAATAAAATATTTAGGTGGCGACTCTGTATCTGGCAAAGCAGTCCATGTTTGGCACTTCTTTCAAAAATCTGTTTTCTCAAAACGATTTGCCGGATTTGGACTCTTTGGTTCAGACTTAGAATCGTGACAAATTTGAGAGTCCTGAGTTGTAGTGACCCCAATATGAACGGAACGGGAGCTCGTTCCTCCTGGGGCGTTCCGGGACGTCTACATACACCAAGGCCACCAACTTTCTCTTATTTCCCCTTTTTTCTATTGTTGATTTTTATTCTCTTATTTATTACATTCAATGTTAAATTTCCTAATTTAATTCACATGAAGTAATTCAAATTAAATTATATCTCATCATCTCATAATTTTAATTACACTATATTAAATTATACTAAGGTGGATTAGGCTCTAATTCCTATCAAATATCTTAATTCTAACTTGTTAAAATTAACGAATCAGACAGGTCTAATTTTCACTCTAAGCTATCTGTCCACATTAACACAATTCAAATAAGCACATATCAAGTCAACAATACGGGTTTAGGTCGTGACAACAACGATTTAGGTTCCATCACCTTAGGTTGCCGAGATAATAGAACCTAAGAGGCAGTTGTGGGGATATATTTTTTAGTACCGACACGTGGCAAGGTGACGCCGACGTGTCAGCCGAGGTGCCACGTGTCAGGATCATGACGCTGAGGTGATCTCGGTTAAGCCGGGGTTATCTCCAAAGATATCAGAGTCTGAAAAAAGCAGATAAGGGACAAGAGTCCTAAAATAAAGAGGAGACTTAGCCAAGATAAGGATAAACCTCTTAGGGAGTTTATCTTTATCTCTGAAGGAGTCCAAAGTAAGTACTGAACAGGAATCCATAGAAGTCAGGCTTCTATTGAGATTAGGAGCTTAATGTAATTTGCTAGGCTATCAATGTTTTCTAGTAACACTAGAATAGAACTGATGCAGGACAGTGCTGTAAGGGCTGTTCTGGGGCTGAAAGTGCTGAAATTTAAGAAAGAAAGAAAGGAGGAGAAGGAGATAGGTCTAGGAATTACTCCTAGAATCTCTTAGGCATCACACTTAGGGTTTGATTGCATTACACAATCCATACGAAAGCTTCAAAGTTCTAAAAATTCTATAAAATATTAAGTTTATATTGAATTAATAGCATTACATGGCTTTATATAGAATTAACAGACTTCCTAAATCAATTAGAACAAAAAAAGGAAACTATTATAATATCTTTGACTTTTAAAACTAATGTAAGACCAAATATGAAACATAAATAAAACCTGATTAAATAACTTGACCCACAAGATGACCCATGGGTGACCTAACCCATGTCTAGAAATTATGAAATTACCAAATTACCAAAATACCCTAAATAATAATAATAATAATAATAATAATAATAATAATAATAATAATACTTGAACATGACTCATAAGCCTAAAACATAACTATCCATGGTCCCAAATGAGTTGCTCGTCATCCAATGCATGCCAAATCCAAGCTTGGGCTTAGAGGCATCTCTTCCTCATCTCCTGTAGGCTGCTGCCACTTGCCTCCATCAAGAACCCTAACCCTCAATTGTTACTCCTTTCAATTTGTGTTATCAATAGAATAGGAAAAATTATTATCTTACTCTTTCAGTTATATTATTTGTCAACAGTGCACTGGAGAATTGATTTTTATCATGCCTAGTTTTAAAAATTAGGGGTACTTACGTGTAGGTCCCAATAAGTGGATTTATTATCTAATAGGTCCTATGGGAAAAATTTGTCATAAAAAAAAGTCACTAATTGTAAGTTATAGTGACAATTTATAAAAATTGTGACAAAAAAAAGTCACTAATTGTCAATTTTTAGCGATGTATGTAAAAAATTGTCACAAAAAAATTATTTTTACCAACAATTTTATCAAAACTTATTTTCAATAGGACTTGATGGGAATTAAGTCCACCTATTAGGACCTATTGGTAGTTTGCCCTAAAAATTATCAATTGTCTAGCTTTTGACTTAACATGCATTGCGACAAGTTCAACAATTAAAATTAAATAAATAAATAAATAAAATTGTGACATTCTAATTCTTTATTGTCATATCATCAACAATTTGACAGTGCACTTTGACATGCTTCGTCATTGCATGTAACTTGAAGTTTGCGGTAATGATGGCTTGATATCACAAAAAGAATCCTCATGGCTTTAAGTGGTAAACTTCATTTATTTATTTATTTGAGCATTAACTAGATCATCACATGGCTGCATATGCTGTAGCTTTGTACTGTCCCTTTGCATTCAACTTACACTTTTGTTTCGCTTTTTTATGGTTCATGTTACTAACAGGGTTTAATGAACCATTCGAGAGAGTTTTTTTTTTTTGATTGGCACCAGGGTGTCCGGATCAAAGCCCGACCAATCCTCAGGGGTGCACAAGCCCTCGACAAGGAGTTTTCCGAGCCATGCAAGAGAGTTTTGCACTCTCCAACATCTGTTTATGCAGAGTTGATGCTTATGCTGCTTGATGATTTCAACAAATCTTAGGGCTGATCTCTGAAACTTTGTTGGTAGCAACTCCTTTGATGCTTTGTAAACACCAAGGAGAAAGGACAAGAAGAAAGCTAGATGACTATAAGGAGAATGAAGAGAACTTAAATTTTAGTTCTGTATGAGAGAGCAGAATCTGGATCAGTGTGGCTTCAAATTAAGCTTGGTGAGCCAAATAGATTGGTTGGGGAAAGGAATATATGAGAGAGAGAGCTCTAACCCATCTGACTGGATCACTCCTCTTTCTAATTTGAACCCCTGACCAATATTATTTCTCGTCATAGTTTGACCCTCCCAAATAGCTAAATGTAACCTTACCTGTAGATCTTGGATGTAGAAAACTCATTCGACAAATAATATCCTCTCCTCCCACTAGATTTGAACTCTGGTCTTGAACTCATTATTCTGTCCAAAAAGGAAACCAGATTACTTATTAAACTCTTCATCTCAGTCAGTCTAGAGAAGTAATATGTGATATTGCTATTTGCAACTCTTAATCTAGTCTAACCTTATCGACCTCCTATTTACCTTGTTTCGCAAGCGGAAATAATTATAATTCAAAATTTAGGTACATTGGTACCAGGGTGCATTAATGATGATTTATTAATCTGTGTGGGTGTGAAAAAGCAATAAGCCAGCGGGTGGTAACATGAGAGAGAAATGCTTTTGCACTTGTTTGATAACACAAGGCTATGGAAATAAGTGAGTTGTTACTCTGTCTCACCGCTAGTTAAGATCCAAAGACATCTTTATCTTGAAAACTTAAAAGTTCATTGGTTTTCTTCCTCTTGAACAACATGTCTGATGGCATATCTTTCACAAAATTTATCTTCATGTTATAAGAAGCAGGAATTTGGTAAAACAGTATTATGAATTCATGCCATCTTGTCAATCTTAACCATTCCTGTTTTGAAGTAGATAACACCATAAGGGCTGACATATTTAGGATAGGAGACACTGATGGAGACAGTGATACACAATTCTTATTTTCTTCTGCCTTACTGTCTATTTCAACATTTGCTTCACCCTTCCATTTTTCTAGTTCATCCAGTTGCGACTGAAAAATAAGGGGTCTGGGGGCAGAGGTGCATATGGAACCATCTGATTTGTTAGCTTAGGAGCTTTGGGAGAGAGTGAAAATTAGTTTCCTAGTTTTTGGCTAGTGATGTGAATCTTTGAGATCAAAATGGCAATTTTTTCAGCGGTTGATTTCACTTATCACAATAAGGCCCATCTTCTTTCTTCTAATCCTACTCTCTTTTCTTATCCTCGGTTCATTCTTTCTGAGAAGGGGTCAGGGTTTTCTTGCTGCTAGAAGGGATTTGGATTTAGAAAGGAGGGCTAGTTATGGAGATGGGAAGACAATGGTTGAAGAATGGTATGGTTTGTCAAGAATAATATGCCTAAGCACGTGTGTACATATATAGGCACAGGTTTGTCAAGAATAGTATGGTTAAGCACATGTGAACTGCACTTAAATAATTGTGTTGTTAAACTACT